GTATTTCTTGCATTTAGAGAAAAACATCAGCATGTATTAAAAAGAAATTTGGAGCAGAAAATAAAACTTATTAGACTAGAGGTGAAGCTGATTAAAAAATAAAAGTTACTACAGGAATCCCCAGATGCTGACTGGGGAGTAGGGAGGCTCTGACACACCGTGCACTATCCCTGTGCAAACCCAGATTGTATGTGAAAAAGGGCCAGAGTTAGGGGTATGGATAGTATTGTTAGGTGTCTTTTCAAGAAAACTTATGCAAGGGAAAAACCTTTAGACTCAGTTGTGCATTTTTAAAATGAGGAGCTTGCATATAATCTGTTTCAATAATAATACGAATATTAATATCGATCACATTTCCATGTTTTCATTCACAACTGGAAGCTAATTTCCAAAGTTTCAAACTGAATATTATTTTGACACCTCCAAATTTGTTATTCTATTTTTATTTTATTTCTTCTTCCACTCCTTTTCTTTTTCTTGATCCTAACTTCTTTTCCCTGTTTAATTGTATTACATGCATTTTTGTAAGTCATCTCAAATATTTTATTCAAAAAGGAAGAGCATAAATTAAACAAACGATGGTAGACAACTGACCTGTGCAAATAGATCCTACACTTAGTGTACATGTGACAATCTAAGGACAATGAGTGTGTATACCATATGGTTCCCTATGTAGGACACAAAAACAGGCAAAACCAGGGTGTAATGTTAGGGGTACACATGCAGGTGGTAAAATGATTTTAAAAGGCAAAGATATGCATGCCATAAATATCAGAATACTCATCACCTTTAGTTGGAAGGGAATTGGTAATCAAGGAAAGGTGAACAAAAATTGTCTTCCTGTTCTATTGCTTTTCTTTTTCTTTTTTCTTTTCTTTTTTAAATTGGTTCTTTTCTACTGTGGTGTATTCATATAAGTACATAGCAAAGGTAGGTCAGATTCTTTTCTCTGACTTTCCCTATCCCATTCCTCCTCCCTTCCTTCCATTCCCATTTATTTACTCTTCTGATCTTATTTCTATTCCTTTTTCTTTTATTTTCTTTTCTTTTTTTAATCTTGGCAGCTGTTAAAAGTGTTTCCTTTGTGGTGATTTACTGAGCTGTCTATTTATGTTTTTATAGACATATCTGATATTCTTTTCTGTATATACATTATAGTCTATGTGAATTATACAAAAGAGTCTAAAACACCAAAACAAATTCTACTATTATTTCTAAAAAACAAAACAAAAAAAGAAAAAATGGAACTGTTTATGACTGGAAAGAACAATGTCTGAATTCTATACACTGAAAATTAAGACTATTAGAGGGATGGCTGAAACAGAATGGGAACTGAAGTGCCATAGCTCTAATAAAATCAATGCAGTCATGAAAACAGACAAGGAATAAACAATCTTGCAAAATTCATTTTATGTCAGTTTTTATTAAGGGCCTACTATACGCCAGGCATGGTTCTGGGTACCAGAGGCACAACAGTGAAGCAGGGCACACAGTACACAGGTGCCTTCTGATGCAGCTTACATCCTGGAGTTAGATAACAGAGGTAGGAGGAGCCTAGGGCTAGAAAGAAAGAGATGAGACGGATGGAAACAAGCAATCCATGAGGACGGAATAGCTTATGTCAATACTCAAAGGTAGAAAAGTTCAGAATATCTGAAAAGCCAAAGGCCCTTTTCCCCCAGAACCTAGCAGGGGAGGGAAGATATCCATTAGGTGACATCAGAGAGGGCAGAGGGAAGATGATGCCTTGGTTTGCAGGAGTGGAGTGCTTAGACTTTGAATATGAGGAATTTTATACAGTGGATTGATGACCTGATTTACATTTTTTAAAAAGTCATTCAGACCACTTCATAGATGATGGATATGATGGAGGAAACAGGACAATAAGTTGCTATTATAGTAGTCAAGGAGAGATAGGATGGCAGCTTGGATTGGGCCACTAGTAGTGATTATGGAAAACATGGATGAATTCCAGTTATATTCTAGATGTAGAGTCAGCAAGACTTGCTAATGGATCAATATGGAGGGGAAGGAAATGGAAAGAATCAAGTATAACTCCTAGATTGAGGCTTGTGTAATTGGGTGGTTGGCAAGGCCTTTTTCTGAAATGAGAAACATTGAATAAAAAAAGTTTGGAGTTACAGAAAATCAAAGGGATCTATTAGGGCTGTGCTAGGGTGGTATGAATTAGACATGCATGTGAACATGTCACATGGGCATTGGACACAAATCTGGAATTCTAAAGAGAGGTCATAGAGATATGGGAGATCATGGTTGGAAATAGCTGTGTATTCTTTAAAAGTCTTGGAAGTAAATGATGTCACCTAGTGCAGATTTTTTTTTTAATGTCCAGGACAAAGTTGTAGGGCACTCTGATACTTAGAAGTTGAGCAGAAGAGGAGCTAAAAAGCCAGGTTAAGAAAGAGCAGGTGCAATCTTTTGCACACTAAGGAGCACATTGGAAATTAGGTCTTTTAAGACCTAGAAGGATACATAAATTCTAGAAATGCGTGTCAAATCAACAACTATTTGGAATACCCCAAAATAAAAAGTAACATAATAACTGCTTTGAAAGAGAACTAGTTATATTATGAAAATAAAGAGTGCTGAAATTATAAGAACAAAGAAAACAAGTCCTTTCAGATTTGGCGATGTTAATACTTGACTGGGAAAGTATAAAATCTAAGTTTGAACTCAGTGAATTCTGCAAAATTAGACTCAATTTCTTTCTTATATTTACTAAAGATCTGGGAGCTTATAAAAATTGACCCATTGCTTTCAAATATCTTTACCTCTGAATATATGAGTCACATTAACGTCAGACTTCTGTTATCACCATCCTTCTTGCCAAAACTGTTCAGTGACATTTCATGTCCTCCCCACCTCATAGAAACATGTACGTATATACATGTATTCTTTGGCCAAAGGTCTCCGGGGCTCCGTTTCCACTGTAATAGCCCCCTTTGTGTTCTCCCTCCCAAGCTCTCTCTCAGGACAGCATCTATAGAGGGAGCCCTCATAGGTAGAGAATTTTCATATCCCCTCACATTCTAATTTCTTTTTTTTTTTTTGCATGTGTTCTATTCTTATTTTATTTTTTAATTTTTATTTGATTTTTTAAAAAATAAGTGACAGCAGAATGCATTACAATTCTTATTACATTCTAATTTCTAAGCAATAAGGAAATGATGTTCACTTTCCAGCAGCTTCCCAATGGCACTTCAAGCCTAATCTTATGAGACATCTCCAATATCAAGAAGAAAACAAGATTTTCTTTTTTTTACCATAGCTCTGTCTTGATAATTCTGAAAACTAAGATAAAGATAACAAATAAACAATGGTCTGCATCACTTCTAATTTCCTAAATCTGAGCAGCAGCAGCAGCAGCAGTCACAAATTATTTCTTTGTACTAATGTATTCATTTTCTATTATTTTGCTATTTGTAAGATATCATAATAATGAAAAATTCATGGACAACTTTCTTTCCTACTAAATAGCATGTATTTTTTAATAATAAACTAAAATTCTTAGTTTACATGATAGTTAAACAAAATATTCTCTAATGCTTGCCTGCACGACACATTAGCAAAAAAAAAAAAAAAAAACAACTTAAGCTTAGATTCCTAATTACCTTTATTTTCCTTCTGCTCTATCACAAAAAGAAATGGGATAGTTGAATTCATCTCCCATAGAACATTCTAATTTCATTTAGAATATTTAGACATCCACTGCCATAACAATATTTAAGGCAGATTTACTGGATTCATTAGATGTAAAACCTTTACAGGAACTATATAACGCTTGACCTTTTCCCCTCCACACTGTGGTAGAGAGCAGAGTCCTTAAGAGAGCTAAGTCAACATATTCTTGGCCTTCCTCCTTTTAAAATTCTTTCAGTCTGTTCCTCAGTTTTGAAATTTCCCGAATTAAAAACTTCTGAGAAAAATCTGTATTTACCAGGTCCAAAATAAATTATTGAAAGAAAATAAAAGCCTTACACCAAAACCAAACCAGTGTCTTCCATGAGAAAAGAAGTGAATTTTTGTGGTTTTAATTTCCAGACTTGAAAGCTACTCTTTGAAAGCCCCAGACTCCACTGAGGGAGATGAAAGAAATTAGTAGAATATTGTCATCCCTCAGTATCTCTGGGTTACTGCTTACAGGACTGGACTGCTGTAGACACCAAAATCTGTGGATTCTCAAATTCTATACATAAAAGACTGCAGTATTTGCATATAACCTAATAATCCTCCCACATACTTCAAATCATCTCTATATTACTAATAATACCTTGTAAATGGAAGTGTTTAACAAATAGTATTTATAATGTGTTGTTCAGAGAAAATGACAAGAAAACAGTCTGTTTGTACATGTTCAGTACAAACGCACTTTTTAAAAATGTTTTCAATCTGAGGTTGGTTGAATCCATGGATATAGAACCCGTGGATCCAGAGGATTAACTGTACCTGATAACAGGGCACTTTGACCTCAGCGCCTAAAATGGGCTGAAGATGGAGTGTGTTACAGATGGGGGTGAATGACCTGACATGATATCATCAAAATAAAAAGTTCATGTTTTTGCCATCCATACAATATTATACAAACCAAGCACGTACAAGTGTCAGGAGATATTTCAAGGTAGTAACGTGGAATTCTGGTCAACATTCACACTGTTGCAAGGCAAGAATCACCTCTGGAAGCTATTAAAATGGCCAGAGGAGCCATTCCAGCTCTCCAACAGAGGTGCAGCAGTGCCATTTAATATTCTTGTCTAGTGAAACAGCACAGCCCCTTCGTGCTTATTTTTAAATGCACATTTTTAATATCCAATATAATGTTACTCTTTAACAAACTCTTTACTCCCTGCCTCTCTGATGAAGCTTCCTGTGGTCTTTAAAGGGATTGTTAACCCAAGAATGGATCACAGTCTTTCTGCATGAGCAGGTTGAGAGACACCCCATTAAGCCTTCCAGTATTTACTAGAAAGACCATCTCTCACCTCTGAGGAGATGAGCCAGTTGCTCAGTGATGAGCTCAGGAGCCTCCTGGAGAAGCTCTTTCAGCACGAGGGATGAGGAAGACTCCCGGATCTCAAACTCTGTGTCATTCTGTTCAACAGCATTAATGACCTTGACAACTGCTGATTCCAAAGTTTTGTCTTCACTGCAGAGCAAATGGAAGGGAGGGAGAGAAGGATACAGGACATGATTTCTCGCTTTTTGGAATTATTTACTCTCTGCTCCCTTACAAATAATGACTTCCTCTCAATAGTCAACACTGTGAGTAAATTCAGACAACTCTCAAGAGTAGGGTCTTACTCCATGTCTTCACATTTCATGTCTACTGAGTACCTCCCCAAGATTACCAGAATATCTTCACACTTTAGCAACTCTATCTCATGTTTCATTGTTGGAAAATAATAATAATAACTAACACATAGTGAGCTTCCAATACAGGCCAGACTCAATTATAAACATTTGAGTGTGTTATCATATTTTCTACTATAAAATGATCCTATGAAATGGGTGCTGGTAAAATCCCTGCTTGATACACAGGAAAACTAAGGCACAAAGAGGTGAAAAAAAATGTGTTTGAGGTTATACAACTAGTGAACAGACTAGCTAGTATTTAAGCTGTCAATTCAGCTCTAAAACTTGCACATCTAGTCACTCTGGTTTAGAAGAAAAAAATGCCTGGGCTTATGTAATGCAACCATCATTGTTATATGTGAGATGGGGTGGATTTTATCAAATATAGGAAGAAAACTATGAATAGAACCAACTGTATTCTTTCCGTCAGGAAAAAAAATGGGTGACAGTAGGAAATGAGAATCTCTATTTATTATTGAAAAATATACTGTTTCATAAACAATTCCAAAGTCAGAGATCACAATTTCAATCTCAAAACCAGCATACATTTTTTTCCATTTAGAAATAGTTAACACATAAATTTTAGCCAAGCATATGATTATTCTAAACATCAAGCTCTGGTTTGGGTGTAATGTGAGCATCTCCCAAAGGTTCACATGTGAAAGCTTGGTCCCCAGGGTAGAGTTATTAGGAAATCTGTGAAGCTTTAAAAGGTGAGGCCTAGTGGGAATTCCTTGGGTCATTGGGGTCATGTCTTTAAAGGATTATGGGAACAGTCTCTGTGGGACCATTGAGATGTGGCTCAAGATGTGACTATTTGACTCCTACACATGCTCCCACCATGACGTGCCATCCTCAGCAGAGGCCCAAAATGATGGGGTCACCTGATCTTACATTTGAACCTCAGAACCATGAGCCAAAATAATCTCTCTTTACTTCATAAGTAACCTATGTTAGATATCTCATTATGGTGACAGAAAGCTGACTAATACAACCAATAACTAAACTTGTAGTCCCTTGTCAACAGTTGATTGCTACATGTTACTCAACAGAATTTCATTTGTTTCAAATGGCATAGGAATAAGATTGTTTTCAAAACTCTTTATAAGTAAATGAAATAGGACTAATATTACCATATATTAATACCTATGTATTCACCTCCCCAAATGGTTCAATTTAAAAATTATTAAATAAAAAAGTTTTTATTTCATGTACACTTAGATCAATATACACTGGTGCAAATCATGAACAATTAGCGAACTGTCAAACTACATAAAAGTGTCACTAAACACCTCCATCTCAAATTATGGAGGTGTTTAGTGACACTTCATTCAGTAGCAGCAGAAAGTCTATCAAAATGGCATCTTTAGGGCTGGGGTTGCGGCTCAGTGTTGGAGCACTCACCTCACACATGTATGGCCCTGGGTTTGATCCTCAGCACCACATAAAAATAAATAAATAAAATAAAGGTATTGTGTCCAACTACAACATATATATATATATATATATATATATATATATATATATAGTATTTTTATAAGATCCTTGAAGACAGAGAATTTGTCTTATTCCTCTTTATGTACCTCTAGATCCTTGCACCAGTTAGCAGCTCTTAAGTACTGTTTGAAGGAGGCAGAAGATCCAAGTTCTAACATGAACTCTTCTGTTAACTGCATGTAGTTCCTTGGGCAAGTCATCCTGACACTGGGTTGCAGATTACCTCTCCATAAAATAAGAAGTATGAACTATATGAACTTGCAAAAATCCATCTTCCTCTTATAGAATAAAGTGCTGTGAATGAACAAACTGATGATCAAATGATTTTCATGGCCCCTCTCTACATATTTTTCCATTTCGTTACTGAGATTTTTTTTCTTAAGAAACTTTCAGTTTTATCTAGTGTTCATTTCAATTTTCACTTCCTATTTTTAACATTAGTTCATAAGTCTGTTGTGTTACTATAAGAAAGTGTTTGAAATGATTTAAAATCATGATTTTGATCAATTTGCAGACTTTCTACTTAAAGATGTCATATTTGAAATGCAAAAGTAAAAGCAGAGTTGACATAATAACCCAAAAGTTGTCAAAAAGGAAGGAAAAATATTCCCCTTTCTCTGAATGACCTCTGCTTTTTTCTTAACTGTTGGCAATTTTTTGTTCCAATTATATAAAAATAAAATATGCTTGAATAGAAATAGAAAACTAGATGACAACAAAAATAATAACAGTAGCTATCTTTTAAAAATAATAAAAATGTAAGACTAGAAGTGGTTCATTCTTTGTTTTGTTTTGTTTCCCTTTTTTCCATTTTGTGTTTTAAATTTTTCTACAGGGGCTAGAAGTGTAACTCAGTGGAAGAGTGCTTGCTTAGCAGACACAAGACCCTGCTGATTTCAATCCCAAGCCCCAGGCAAAAGAAAAAAAAAACCTATAATGAACATATATTAATTTTATGATCAAGAAAGAAAAAAATCAATGTTTTCTTTAATGCTGAAAATTTCTGTTAAGCCAGGATCAGTGGAGTATGCCTGTAATCCCAGTGGCTCAGGAGGCTAAGGCAGGAGGATCTCGAGTTCAAAGCCAACTTCAGCAAATTAGGAAGGCCCTAAGCAACTCAGCAAAAACCTGTCTCTAAATAAAATGTAAAAAAAGGCTGGGGAATGTGGCTCAGTGGTAAAGCACCCGTGGGTTCAATCCCTGGTACCAAAAAATAACAAAGATATTTTTCTGTTAATATTTTCTGACATTTTAGAAAACATCTTTATTGATATTCTACCGATGATACCATTCAATGTTCCAACCCTTTCTTCTTGTGATGATAGTTTGTATATATTTTTGCCTTGCAAAATACTTGTTATTTCAGGAAGATTTTTCAGAGAAATGTGTTGACTTTCTACTTAGTGATATTAGGTATTCCTGATTAGTTTTGCTCCTTTTTGAGGTAAACAATTAAACATTAAAGCACCATTTGCTGAGATACCAATTTTTTTTTTGAAGCCTCTGAAATCCTCTGGCCAGTCTGGGCCTCCAAGTGGGCTTCCTACTGTTCTGCTGATGCTTGTCTTTGTCTGATCACCTTTCTCCCCAGGCCTTGTCTGCTGAACTCCTGCTTCAGGGTCTAGACCAAAGACCACCCCTACTGCAACCTCCTCCCTCCAGAATAAATGGTTTCTTCACCCTCCCCAGTGTTACTTGGGAAAAGGTTGAAAATAAATGCAGTAGATAGAGTTCTCATCTTCATTCTTTCCAGCATGTAGAGGCAAATTGCTTTGTTTGCTGCCAAAGTATCTGAAATGGATCCACGATCAGATAGGATTTATCGATATACTTTCATTCGTGCCTTTCATGGCTTTTTTTTCTCAAGTCTCAACCATGTTTTTACATCTTTATATAACAAAAGGTTCACCCTGCATTTGGGAAATAGGTCCAATTGATGTATTACTGCATTTCATAGATAAGCAAGATTCATCTGGTTCTGATCTGTCCTGGAAATCTCAGTGTTTTTTTTTTTTGGTTTTTTGTTTTGTTTTGTTTTTTTTAATATTTATTTTTTAGTGTAGTTGGACACAATAGCTTTATTTTACTTATTTATTTTTATGTGGTGCTTAGGATCGAACCCAGAGCCTCGCACATGCTAGGCGAGCTCTCTACCATTGAGCCACAACTCCAGCCCAAAGCCTCCGTTTTTAAGACATCTGCCCAAACCACAACTATCCTGAGCAAGGTGATGATTGACCAGGAGACCTTCATTAAGGGGCCAAACCTCCAGAGCTTCACAGTGAGTCTTACCTTGCCAGGACGTTGCTGCCAACGAGTGTTATAGACAACTTCCCTTCATCATTTAGCTGATGCAGGTTAATCTCATCTCGGAATATGTGGAATGATTCAGAGATATTCAGCTCTTCTAAAATAAATCTTGTCTCAGTGAAGTAGTTGAATTCAGTTCTTGGAATATTTAGCACTGGTAAACAGAGAACCCCAGGTGGGCTGACCTACCAAGAGAAGATTGACTAAATCACCAAAACAGCAGGAGGGAAGACACAAGGACATTTTCTGCAGCTTCAGGGTAATTAGTAAAAGGCATATAAGTCTTTTGGCAGTACCAAATCATTTGACATTCAGAACCAAATTTTCCTGAATACAATTAATAGAGCATTATACACTTAGGGGTAAGGGGCCTCTAACGTTTTCTAATTTCCTTACTCTTATTGAAACTTCTTATAACCTACTTGAAATAGTTTATGTCTCACTTCAACCCCTCCATGATTAAACCATGAGGCCTTGAGTTCCAGCCCCAGCACTGGGGAAAAAAAAAAAAAAGAAAGAAAGAAAAGAAAAGAAACACTATATAAGTTACTGAAAACATTTAGGAACCAGATTCAGCCCACACACTAACTAAAGATTGTGATCTTGACTGATTTCTTATATTATATTAAAAAAAAAAGTCTTTTGTTCACAACCTCATAAAAACTTTTATGTCAATCAGGGGAAACGGGAGATAGGTAGGAGTTAGAGAATTCCAGATTCCCAATAATAAGCTTAGTTTTCTATAAGAATGTTTAAAAAATAAAGGTGTGTTATCTTATGAGTAAAGAGCAATAAATCTTATCATTATCATTAGAAGCATGTAGGGCTTGGTAACATCAGATTTCTGCAGTCTTTATTCTTATATCTCACCAGCTCTGTCACAAGCTTGTCATCTGTCTCCCCTTTCTAGCATTACGAAGGCAGAACTTTTGGACTGCTTTGTCCCATCATGCTTTCCAGTACATAAAACAGTCTGGCTCTAGTAAACATCTAATAAACATTCATTGAATGAAACAAAGGAGCCAACCATTACTATAGTACACAAAACACAAACCTGCTCCAAAAAAGTGGGGTTTTCTTACCTATTGCAGGTAAGATGATAATCATTAGCAATACATGGATGGCAAATTAGTTTTTCTAATTCATTGAGAGTTATCTCTAACTCCTAATAATGAAATAGAGAAAGGAACCAATACATGAGTCAAGAGCATGTAGCCTGAGCCTATCCTGGAAGTACCTATTCTGAAGTTGGAGTCAGAAGAACTAGGTTCCAGCCCCCTCTGCTGTGTGAATTGGAGAAAGCCTTTTTCCTCTCTGAACCTCTGTTTTCCCTATCTGTAGAATGGGGCTCACTTACTAGAGTGAGAAAGATATAAATGGGATAATACACAGGAAGCTACAAAGCCCTACATTTATGCCAAATATTAACACTCTGAGAGGGAGTATCAGGATCTCAGGAAAATTTTAATGGAGGTATAGACCACTATTAGGGCCTGGGCCCAGTAAACTAAGACAATGCAGAAAAACACAATAGAATTCCCAGTATCTGTCTCTTAGGTGATTCCACATTTGTTCCTATGGTGGCAAGGCTTCAAAGAAGAGCACAATCGTGAGTCTCTTTATATATCTATTTTATCTCTCACAATTATTCTTCCCACTTCTTTCGTTGGATATTATATTCATTCAAAACATTGTAGCTACTAGTGGTGGTGTTATTATTTATAATTTTCTTAAAAATCCATGCCATTAGAAGTCTAAACATCAATCCAGTTCAGTCAACTGTATGTTCTCTACACAAGTGACAGGTTTTTTTAGAAGTCAAAAAACCCAGTTAATAAAGTTAGTGTTTAAAATGCATGTCTTACACAGGCACATTTATCTCCTCCTACCAATTAATCTCTGCTGTAAAGTTCAACAAATTTTAAGACAAATTTGATAGAGAGCCCACATGTAGAGATCAGAATATTTTACCCATCATTTTCATCAGCTGCTGCCCTAAAGCGGTTCTTGCCACCCACAGCTCATTCTGGAAGACTGGGTTTCATGTGAATTTAAATCACTCTAGATCAGCTATGCTTACTGTCAGGGGCCAAGGATCCAAACAAAATTGGAATAAAACAAACCAGACTCTGGAAAATTAAAAATTGTGTGAGATTTTTGGAAATAGCATCCAAACATCCAAACAGGCTTTGAGGCAATAAAGAATATCAGGAGCTGATGAATTTTATGGAAAGAAAATTTAAAAACAATTTATTGATGGCAATTTGTAAATCAATGGATGTGTAACTGATGTGAATCTGCAATCTGTGTATGGGGTGAAGGTGGGAGTTCATAACCCACTAGAATCAAAGTGTGGAATATGATATGTCAAGAAATTTGTAATGTTTTGAACAACCCACAATAAAAATTAAAAAAAAAAAAAAAAAAAAAAAACAATTTATTGAAAGGTCTTTTCCACTTTACCAGGTGTGTTTGTGTTTCATAGAGTAAAAAGATGCCCCTCAAGAGAGATCATCTTTACTGAGGATGACCATGGTATACAAAATCAGGTCTAAAAGGCAAAACTGAACAAGGACTTATCAAATGTACATTTGACATGGAATCCTTTTGCCTCTAGAAATGTCAGTCAGTATTCTCTGCACTTCATGTAATCTTCATGCAAGTTATTTCATACATATTTTTCTACCTCCAAGGGTAAGACTATCCGACAGGATGACAAAAGAAAATAAAAAAATCTGGTCCTTATACTGTAGTTCTGAATTCCTATAAAAGTTATAGATTATTATAAACATTTTTAATTTTTTATTTGAAAGCAGGTTTTATTTGAAACCTGAAGCAAGGTTTTATGAAGATAGTAGTAAGGACTACCTAAAACAATAGTTAACATATAGATGGTGCTGCTTCAATGGTTGTTGATTTGTGGATTATAATACCTCACTCTCTGCAAAAATAAGCCAGAACATAGAAAATTAAGTTAATAGCTTCCCTTTTTTCCTAGAAAATGCATGTTCTTTAAAGGTACATAATAATTCAAGTATAAAAGACATAATTCTCCTTCCTCTCACCTTGTCTAGAAAGTAAGCATAGGTAAAGGCAGAAATGAGAGAATCCAGGTCACATGATTTGGGGCCAATGACCACATGAACCTTCTCCAAGCGTTTGCTTCGATTCTGAAACAAATTTAAATAAAATGTCACAATTTAACTTGCAGAAGTCAACAGAAAGAGGAAAAATTTCAGTTTTTTTAAAAGTATGCTTTATCTACATTCATATACTATGGCAGAAAGTCTCGATTTACCATGACTTCTTACATGGGAGCATAAAATCTGTACAATGTACTCAACATTCCAAAATGTTCACTCCAACCAATAAATTGTCAGGATGAGAAAGTTTAGCTTTATTATGATTATCCACAATTTCACTTCATTTGACATGTATTTCTGAGTCATAATTTTTTAGTAAAAGATCATTATATATTATACATTTACTAAGAGATCCTATACATTTAGGAAGAGTTGCATAGAATTCCATTATTATTTCCTTATATCAGACATTATTCTTTTTTCAATATTTATTCTTTAGTTTTAGGGGGACACAATTCTTTATTTTGTTTTTATGTGGTGCTGAGAGTTGAACTCAGTGCCTCACGCATGCTAGGTGAGCGTACTACCACTTGAGCCACATCCCCAGCCCTAGACATTATTCTTGATATAAGAAAAAAGCTCAGTTACATATATATATATATATATATATATATATATATATATATATATATATATATATCCCTGGCATGTGACATAATCAAACACACAAGCTGTTGAGGTACACTTTCATGTCATGTTTTGGGTGACAGGATACTGTCTATGCATTGTTATTTAGTGATGATAACACTTTCCTCACTCAGAAAAAGTAATATGATTAGTATCATCATTCAAAATACACAAATTACTGTAACTGCTCTTAGAAAGTATATTTAATCCCCTCTCTGGAAGTGAACAGATACGGAATTTTTCCTGGTCAACTAACTCAATAGTTACTTAAAACTCCTTTATAGGAGGCTGGCGTTCTTTTGAAACATTCAAAGAACCAACTGATTCTAGAAAATTTCATAGTGAAACAGCTCAATATGGACAGTTATACCATAATTTAATATCTTTATAATATATCAGAGACAACACATGCAAATACTTCCCTCACTTATCACCACTTGTTTTAACCTCTCTGTTTAGGAAGGACTAGAAAACCAACCTAGTTGTAATACAGCTCCAAAAGTTCATGTAAAAGGTTAGACTGGTCATGACCGCTTTCATAGTAATTTTTTATGTACAGAACAAAAATAAAGCATGATTTAATAAGCTACTAAGTATTTTACAAATAAATCTAGAAATTTGTTAGTATGTACATGCAATCGCTGGTATCAGAGTCAGAAACAAGTTACTAAACAACTAGGTTTTGCCCTAAGGAACAAAAGGTAAATCTGGAAGAAGGCTGGATTAGAGTGTGTCATAGGCTAAGATGCAGGATGGACGCTGCCGGTGAGTCACCCAATATATGTCATATTCACAAATTTAAAGAGCACTTTTTAAAAATATTAAGATCTTGGTTCTCAGGAAAAAAAAATCCCCACCATGATTTAAAGTATGGGATAAACTCTCTGAAGATATAATTATAACTGTCCCTCATAACCACCAAATCTAGCTCTCATTCCCACATCCCCCAGCTTCCTTCTCTGATGACATAAATGTGTAGCCGACTCACTTGGCTGAGTATCCTGTGAGGTTCTAATCTAGGTCCAGCTCTCAAAATCAAGAGTCACATATTCTAGGAGCACCTAAAGAAATTTAGGTAAATGTTAGGGTCTGTAAATAAGTCAAGATGGCGCCTGGCAAATGGAGTTAGACTCCATTACGACACATACGAATGCATTAGGAAATCATATTACTGTAAATGCTGTTCTTCCGAGAAGCTCAGAGGTCTAAGTAGACATTACGTCATTTCTCCTCCCAAATCTTATGAGACAGACAGTAAGAAGATCAACAACACTTTTTATAGGTCAGAGGAGTCTGTGTTGGGGCCAGCATTGTTTCCAGAACCCATGACCTGCAGCAGAGATCGTGGTCTCCTCTGTCCTGCACTAACCACTCCTCAAGGCCACTGTGACTTCAGCAAAGTCACAGTGAGTGAGCGTGGAAACTGAGTGATAAGAGAGAGTGCTAAATATGCATGCTAAACACAGCAAGTCTTCCGACCTTTACAGCATCAAACTTTTACTGACCTATTTGTGTTCTTATCTAGGCTTGATCATTCCCCACACACCCCTGTTCAATCCTAACTTTCACAAAAGACCGGGGGAGGTGCAATTTGGGCCACAATCCATTTCCAAGCCCAAGATCACTTATTACTTAGGATAACAAAAGAGCTAAATAAGGTTTGTGGGCCCAAAGCTAATACAATTCTCATAACTCAGGAACATTCTATGAATATTATGATCTATTCTTCTTCATTTAATGAAAAAAAGAAAATACATATCATCTTGTGGGTCAGAGCCATAGCAGATCCTGCTGCAAAATTCTGAAGATTCTCCTGGTGCCACATGTTCATGGTCTCTCAATTCTCTTCGAATTGCCCTTCTTCCCACATATAGTTCATATCATGGCCTCTTCCAATGCCATTTGTCCACATTTGCCAATGGCAGTGGAAGCCACTTTTCCAGGGCTCCAACACTGTCTTCTCCTACCACCTGCCTCCATTAAAATGTGCCATCATGCCTGGCAAGATCTCAATGAGACCCTGTCTCTAAATAAAATACAAAATAGGGCTGCGGATGTGGCTCAGTGGTCGAGTGTCCCTGAGTTCAATTCCCAGTACCCCTCCAAAAAAAATAAAACATAAAACACTAATAATGGATGAAATAGATACTGCACTGCTTTGCCATCTAGATACACTTCCAAGTGGATTGTCAGAATCTTCCATAATCAATGTATTAAAAATATATTGAACATGCCAGTTTTGCAGATCATGATTTTAATGTTTTCAGAGTGTAATCCTATGCGTTGATAAAATGAAACTCCTTACTGAAGTTCAGATCTCTTTCTAAAAATTGCCTACACGTTCAGATTTAACATTCAAGAGAGCTGCATTTGTTAGGCAAAAGCACTTTCAAACTCACCCACAGAAAAAAGAAGAACTGGTTAGAAAGCAGGCTTCCAGGGTCCTGCAATGAATCAGCTTTTTCATAATTCTGCACTCTCAAAAAAAAATTGCTTTTGCCTATAACTTGTCACATTTAACACCCCATAATAAATGTTTTAATCAAAGAACTCTTGCTATACAGTTATACTATGATTTCTCAACACATCTTCCCTACTCCCCCTTCTTAAGAATTCTATGAACTTTTTTCAAAAAGCGTTAATTGAGGGGCTGGAGCTATGGCTCAGCAGTAGAGCACTGGCCTAGCTCGTGTGAGGCCCTGGGTTCGATCCTCAGCACCACATAAAAATAAATAAATAAAATAAAGGTATTGTGTCCAACTGCAACAAAAATAAATATTTTAAAAAAGAATTAATTGAAATGAATTTTGTTTCAAAAGCTTTGCAGACAAACCTCACAGAAGTTGGAGAACATCTTTCTCACTCACTAAAGCAGAGCACATTTCTTAGTCCCTCATCTCTAATAAATAACCAAAGGAATGAGAGAAAAAGAAGCCTCCCAAATGTTTACGATGATGCCTCCAAAGAAAGCTAGACTTATAAAAAAGTGGCCTTTGAGCCAGTGCTCCCTTAGGAACTGACTCTAAGTCAATGAGGGCGTCTTTGCTCCAGGTGGCTGACTATGGGGTGGAACAGAGAAGCGTCAGTTCTTCCCCAGGAGACCTATGCAGCTGTGGCTGCCATGATTCTGCATCAAAAGACTCAAAGAATGGGCTGCAGGAATGCTTATATGCTGCTTACAACCTGTTGGTCCCAGATCCACACTGCCAAGGTCCCCAGGAAAGACAGGGCATGAGACATTTACACAGCCAAGTGAGTAGCAAGGACCACAGAGATCGGTGGAGATGCCCAGTGCCTCAGATCAGCTCTTTGCATACAGATAAAGTCACACAGTTAAATAAACAAGATGCTCTGGGATTAAGATGATTTTGATAACTCCTGATATCCTGAATTTCTAAGCTTATCACTACCTGGAGAACGTCTGGGACCCAGAGGGAAATGATAGTGCTGGGATCAAAAGACATCAACTGAAAGTTTAAAAGGCAAAGAAGGAAACACTTCATGTGAGGTTCTCCGAATACAGCAATTTCTATACCAATTGAAATTCTTGTATTTTATTCTCTATTCCCTATTTTTAAATTTTTTTCTGATAAGCAATATATGCCATTGTAATAATTAGGTACAATAAAAACCAATAAAGCACCAGGCATGGTGTTTTACGCCTGTTAATCCCAGCAGCTCAGGACACTGAGGCAGGAAGATCTTGAATTCCAAGCCAGCCTCAGCAAAAGCTAGGGGCTAAGAACTCAGTGAGACCCTGTCTCTAAATAAAATACAAAATAGGGCTGGGGATGTGACTCAGTGGTTGAGTGCCCGTGAGTTCAATCCATGGTACCCAAAGGAAAACAAAACAAAACAAAAACAATAATGCAAAAGATAACTAACTACTGTTAACAGATTATTGATTATGGCACATTTTATAATTCATGCATATATACTAACACATATTTTACAAAAACTGGGTGCTTCTGTTTTCTACTCTTTAGAGACTTAACCTTTTGCCTTGAACAATTTTAAGAACTAAATAGTGACAATTGTGCATTCACAAATATGTGTATAACAGAATTTCTTGAAACAACATAAGTGCCTTTAAAAAAAAATCCCTATAATGTCAAATAGGGTGCTCTGACCCTGACCACCCCATTGAGATTCATTCTAACAGTTAATCAATAAACAATAATAAGTGACTAGGATACCATAATCGGTTTCTTCTGAGAGATGTAACTCAGGTCGTTTGTAAAAACAAAAGTATTTACCAAAATCTATAGATTTGGGACAGAGATATTTTATATTGAATTTTCTCATAAATGTCATAATGTAATGGTGACCTAGTACATGAATATAAACAAACAAATTAGGAAAAGACAAAGGCTTTCAATAATAAGCCTGAAAAGGACCAT